AAACCCCACCACCACCATGAACAGCACCAACATCCATCCAGCTGCCCAAGCCAGGAGCTGATATATCATCCCACCCTCTCTTGCCTATTAGTCTTTCATACCCTATATCCCAACACAACACCAAATCCCACTGATTCTCAACTCCTCAACCACCCCTCCTCCCCTACCCCACAGCCTTACCACCTCTCAGTGGGCCTGTCCCATCTGCCCTCCAGTACAGATCACAGAGTAGTCTTTCTATAATCTGACCATGTCATTCCTCTTGCTTTAGAATCTACCTCATTGCCCTCATCTCAGCCCCTACTGAACTCCCCAACCTCACCCCTGCTTCCTCCCCTCCTTTTCACCCACCAGTAACAACAAAGGGCTCAAGGTCTCCCAAACACATCATGCTGTGTCATGCCTGGTGCTTTTATACATGCTGTTCCCTCTCCCTGGAATGCCCCTCCTCCCTGCACTGTACACCTACCTAGAGCCCCAAGAACAGCCTCAACCAACTTCTGTAGTCACCCCAACTGTGCCTTTGCCACTCTCCAGGATCAGAATGGCTGGTCTCCTGTATGTCTCCCCATGGGTCTGTGAGCCATTCCAGGGCAGGGACTGCTGAGTCATGCAAGTCCCAGCTGCCTTCAATAAATGTTTGTCACATGAGTAAATGGGCAATGAGCTGCTTGGGGGAAGGAACTGTATTCTCTTCATTGGAATGCTCCATTAGATCTAGCACATGGAGGTTAGCAAAAGTCTTGTTTGTTTTGTCTTTCTTTTTCACTAAATCCAACCCAACAGTTTATTTACTGGTAAGGGGACTTGGCCCTAGAGAGGGGAAGGTATCTGCCAAGGCCATAAAGGGAGACTTGACCCAGCTCTGCTGAGTTTGTCCAGGGCTGTGTTCCCTATAGTCCGGGCATAGCCTCTATCCCCACTTCAGATGATGAGACAAGATCAGAGGAGTCTCCCCTGTCTGGGGTCAGGTTCCCTAGGAGCAGAGCCTGGAGTGAGAATTTGGTGTTAGTGAAGTAACAAGGGAAGCAAGATGGGGAGCATGCATGGATGTGGACTGTTATGGATTGAATATGTTCTCAAAAAATATATATGTTGCAAATCTTAACCCCTGTATCTGTGGTTGGGAGCTCTAGTGGTACAGTGGTTAAAGCATTTGGCTGCTAACCAAAAGTTCAGCTGTTCAAATCCACCAGCTGCTCCTCAAGAGAAAGATGTGGCAGTCTGCTTCCTTAAAGATTTACAGTCTTGGAAACCCTATGGGGCAGTTCTACTCTGTCCTATAAGTTTGCTATGAGTCGGAATCAACTCAATGGCAGTGGGTTTGGTTTGGTTTGGTTTTTGTATCTGTGATAATAATCCCATTTGGGAATGGGTCATCTTTGTTATGTTAATGAGAACAATTAGTGTAGGGTGTATCTTAAGTCAATCTCTTTTGAGATATAAAAGAGTTTAAACAAGCAAGAGAAGGAAGTAGAAGCAGAGATGGAGAAAGACACATCCCAAGCCACATGAAGATCGCCCAGGAGCAGAAACTCCGAAGAACAAGGGCCTTCCTCCAGAGCTGACAGAAGGAGAAAGCCTTTCCCTAGAGCAAGCACCCTAAATTCAGACTTCTAGCCTCCTAAACTGTGAGAAAATAAACTTCTGTTTTTTAAAGCCACCCACTTGTGGTATTTCTATTATAATTACTCAGGTCAGATTTAGCCTTGGCCTAACCCTCATGGGGTTAGGGAGTTTGGGATCATAAATGCCACCATAGAGCTATCTCCTCATGGAGGCTTTTGAACTCCTATATCAGCCAATTTTGGCTTCACCCCACCCCAAGGTTAGAAGGAATGGCAGGAAGGGGTAGGTAGATACCTTAGTAGATAGAAGTCAGTTCTTCAAGGGCAGCTATCAGCCAAGACAGCCAATATTCCCAGCATCTGGAGAATGGGCACACTGGCTCAGTACAGGCAACCTGGGCAGGATGCCAATAACATCTACTCACCTCAGGAAAACCAGGGTGGTTCCCACTCCCAATCCAGACCAGATCACTGACCACCCAATCTGGGACAACAAGGTAGCACTCTCAATCAGCTCATGAACCAGATGGTCCCGTACTGTTCAAACTAAGTAGCTCCCAGTTCCAGGCCAGGGAACTATACCTGGTCAACTCTCCCTGAGATTCCAGATCCCCACTGGCATTATGGTGAGCATGTTCTGGAACCCAACCACTCTCATCACAGACTTCTGCACAGGTGCTGGCGGCCCAGCATGTCTCGTTGAGCCAAGAAGAGGCCAAATATCATCTGACCAACCAAAGGTTTCAATAGGTGACCAGGACTAATCCTCTAGGAAACCCTTCAGTCATCTACACCCATAGACTCTTACAGTCAGTTCTTGCCCACACTTTCACCTCCCCTATACTGCAGTCACTACTACTCTAAGACCTTTCCACCTCTACCTCTTGAAATATCCCTGATTGGTTTAAGCCCCTGCCCCCATTATCTTCTACCATCTGTCTTGCCTCCCATTGTTCTTCTCATTTATCAAAGACTTGAATATGTGACTTAGGCTCTTCTTCTCCTGATGTTTTCCTATGACCCAACTCACTTGTCCTTTTCATTCCATGATCTCCTCTCTCCTGTGACTTCCTCCTTCCCTCCATTTGGCTACCCACTCACAGTACCACACCCAGAACTGTTCTAGCTCTAGATTCAGGTTGAGAAATATTTATTGTTCACTTATGTGACAGGCCTCAAGCTATGTGCTGAGGATTTATCTGGGACAAATCAGACACAGTCACTGCCCTCATGGAGCTTACATTCCAGTGAAGAGGCCAGCTGTTAAACCAGTGGCAAACCGGGGAATCATAGGGTGCTGGAAGAGGTGGTAGATGGGTCTAACATCTAGGCATCCAGAGATGAGTTTCCTGAGACTCCAAAACTGAAACCATCCATCACCCCCTGTCACTGACAATCACCCCTTTCCTGTCCTCCCTTTCCTCCTTACCCAGTGTGGACTCCATGGACCCCCATAATGCACCTACTTATAGATATTCTCCACTCCCTTTCCTTTCCATAATCCTATAGTGTTCACCTGGCAAGACCCTGTTGTTGCTGTTGTTAGCTGCTATAGAATTGGTCTACACACACACACAACAGAAGAAAATGCTGCCCTGTTTTGGTTCAGACCATTGTGATCCATAGGGTTTTCATTGGCTGATTTTCAGAATCAGGCTTTTCTTTCTAGCTCATCCACATCTAGAGGGTCTGCTGGAACCTATTCAGCATCATAACAACACATAAGTCCCCAGTGACAGTTGGGTGGTGGCTTCATATGAGTGGTTTGTCTGGGAATCCAACCCGGGTCTTCTGAATAAGGAGAATTCTACTACTGAACCACCAATATTCTCTGGCAAGATCCTAGTTAAGCCCAACTCTCTATGTAGCACCTTTCCCTAGAGAAATAGGAAGATTTTGCCCAGCAAAAGGGAGAGGAGAAGAAAGAGAGGATTCCAGGCAGAAGGGTCAGCATAGGCAAAGGCCTTAAAGCAAGAGCAAGCCTGCTGGCCAACTTGTAGAACTGAAAGTCACCCAGGATGGCTTGAGCCAGGGGAAGGGGCTTGTGGTAGGAGATTGTGCTAAAGTAGACAGGGGCAGGATCATGCAGGGCTTTCTTTATAAATTCCTGTTTAT